AGAATAGAATAGAATAGAATAGAATAGAATAGAATAGAATAGAATAGTTCTTTATTGGCCATACTGGGCACACAAAGAATTTGTTTCCAGTGCATAAGCTCTCAATATACATACCAACAACAAAGTAATAGATCACAAATCATCTGCTACAATCATAAATAATAAGATACAAGGAACAAAGTGATAGTCATAAGATGATAATAGGAATATGTAATAGTCCTACTACAAGGTTAGATATTAACACACTGATGGAAGACCTGAAGGGCCAGTTGGTGATTTTAAAAAGTCTACCAACAGGTGAAACTCAAAAAATTAGAATATCGTGCAAAAGTTCATTTATTTCAGTAATGCAACTTAAAAGGTGAACCTAATATATGAGATAGACTCATTACATGCAAAGCGAGATAGTTCAAGCCGTGATTTGTCATAATTGAGATAATTATGGCTTGCAGGTCATGAAAACCCCAAATCCACAATATCAGAAAACTAGAATATTGTGAAAAGGTTCAGTATTCTAGGCTCAAAGTGTCCCACTCTAATCAGCTAATTAAGCCATAACACCTGCAAAGGGTTCCTGAGCCTTTAAATGGTCTCTCAGTCTGGTTCAGTAGGAATCACAATCATGGGAAAGATTGCTGACCTGACAGTTGTGCAGCAAACCATCATTGACACCCTCCATAGGGAGGGAAAGCGTCAAAAGGTAATTGCAAAAGAAGTTGGATGTTCCCAAAGTGCTGTATCAAAGCACATTAAGAGAAAGTTATGTGAAAGGAAAAAGTGTGGAAGAAAAAGGTGCACCAGCAGCAGGGATAACCGCAACCTGGAGAGGATTGTCAGGAAAAGGCCATTCAAAAGTGTTGGGGACTTTCACAAGGAGTGGACTGAGGCTGGAGTCAATGCATTAAGAGCCACCACACACAGACGGATCCTGGACATGGGCTTCAAATGTCGTATTCCTCTTGTCAAGCTGCTCCTAAACAACAAACAACATCAGAAGCGTCTTACCTAGGCTAAATAAAAACAGAACTGCTCTGTTGCTCAGTGGTCCAAAGTCCTCTTTTCTGATGAGAGCAACTTTTGCATCTCATTTGGAAACCAAGGACCCAGAGTCTGGAGGAAGAATGGAAAGGCACACACTGCAAGATGCTTGAAGTCCAGTGTGAAGTTTCCACAGTCTGTGTCGATTTGGGGAGCCATGTGATCTGCTGGTGTTGGTCCACTGTGCTTCATTAAGTCCAGAGTCAATGCAGCCAGCTACCAACAGATTTTGGAGCACTTCATACTTCCTTCCGCAGATGAGCTTTATGGGGATGCTGACTTCATTTTCTAGCAGGACTTGGCACCTGCCCACACTGCCAAAAACACCAAAACTTGGTTCAATGACCGTAGGATTACTGTGCTTGATTGGCCAGAAAACTTGCCTGACCTGAACCCCATGGAGAATCTATGGGGCATTGCCAAGAGAAAGATGAGAGACATGAGACTGAACAATGCAGAAGAGCTTCAGGCCGCTATTGAAGCATCCTGGTCTTCCATAACACCTCAGCAGATAGGAGGCTGATAGCTTCCATGCCACGCCCCATTGAGGCAGTAATTGCTGCAAAAGGGGCCCAAACCAAGTACCGAGTACATATGCATGCTTATATTTTTCAGAGGTCCGATATTGTTCTATGTACAATCCTTGTTTTACCGTTTGCATGTAATATTCTAATTTTCTGAGATTGTGGATTTGAGGTTTTCATGAGCTGTAAGCCATAATCATCTCAATTATGACAAATCATGGCTTGAACTATCTTGCTTTGCATGTAATGAGTCTAGCTCATATATTAGTTTCACCTTTTAAGGTGCATTACTAAAATAAATGAACTTTTACACGATATTCTAATTTTCTGAGTTTCAGCTGTATATGCTCCATAAGAGTTTGAATGAGTACAAGTGCAAGGCTACGACCCTACCTTTCACTTGATTGAGATGCTGGATCCATGATTATTAAATAGATTAATATAAAGGCAGGCACTTCTGAACCATATTGGAACCAGCATGTCTGCATTCAAGACACTTAAGCTTTCCATATAACTTTGCCACACTTCACAGTCTCTGCTCCCCATGTGGACAAGTAGAAGTGAGTGAAGGAAGAAAGGTCAGCAACTAAATTTCTTTTCCTTTTCTTTTCAATTAGTGTGCACAGAAGGGGGAAATGGTTTCTGAAATGAAGCAGATGTGGCAGGAAGATTTAATTTCTTCCAACCTGCACCCACTGTGGTGCTACTCCCAGGTTTGGACCCTTCACCTCAATAATGAAAGAAAATCAAAGAGTCAACTACATTCTACATACAGAAAGAAACTTTAATTGGATTGGAAATTACTATTGGGTCAGGACCCAAGAGTTTATAAGAAAGGATTTTAGTTTAGTTCTGGTATTAGAAACCATACCAAGCTAAGCATGAACTTACAAATACTACTAAAAAAAACAGGAGTGTTGCATTTCAACATCACTAACTTGATCAAGTACCCCGAGATTTCATGTCATGGAAATTTAATTAATTTTATTCGATTGATTTGAGTTAAACATTGCCTGACTCTGAACCCACACTGGGCAGTGTACATTAGTAAGTAAGATCAAGGTAAAGGTTCCTCTCGCACATATGTGCTAGTCGTTTCCAGCTCTAGGGAGTGGTGCTCATCTCCGTTACAAAGCCAAAGAGCCAGCACTGTCCAAAGATGTCTCTGTGGTCATGTGGCCAGCATGTCTAAATGCCGAAGGTGCACGGAACGCTGTTCCCTTCCCACCAAAGTGGTCCCTATTTTTCTACTTGCATTTTTACATGCTTTCAAACTGCTAGGTTGGCAGAAGCTGGGGAAAATAACAGGAGCTCATTCTGTTACGCAGTGCTCAAACCACTGAACCATTCGAGCCACTGAACTGTCAACCTTTCTGATTGACAAGCTCAGCATCTTAGCCACTGAGCCACCATGTCCCTTCTATATTAGTAAGTAGATTGGTAAATTATAAAAGGATTAATTATAAAAGGAGTAAGAAGAAAGGAAAAAACAAGAACCAAAAGCAAATACAGCTAACTACACTTTCACCATCAAATAATCTGACCTAAGCCCAACCATCCTACCTCAGCCTGGGAAAACAGCTAAGACTTTAGGGCTTTTTGGAATGCCAGTAGGGTGGGAACCACTTGGATATGGGGTGAGACCTCATTCCAGAGGGCAAACACCATGACAGAGGAGGCATGCCTCTTCAGTCTGCTAAATCACACTGTTTAATTGAAGGGACCCAGAATGTGCCAATTCTGTTGCATTGAAATAGATGTTGGGAATGAAGAGACATCTTAATTGCACTGGTACAGAGAAAGAATGCTGAAGTGCCAGGATTCCAGAGATATTAGAGCTATTTGCCCATTTCACTCAGTGTATAATTTCTATCTTATAAGTCATTTTGGGTACCCAAAAAAAAGAGAGAAAAGAATTTGCATCTGATCTCTAGATGCCTCTAATTGTATGGCTATTCTATTTTCTTTGATTGTCTGGGGGGAATATTTCCTTCTGTCAATCACCCCCTTTTTGCTACAAAAAAAGTTGATATCAAGATAGCATTTATACTTTACTTTTGCCATGGTGCTGAGTGGCATAAAGGTAACTGCACTTTACAACTCTCTCATGTAACTTCTTATTCTAATTTAGATAGATTTCACATTAAACACAAGAAAACAGAAAACCGAACAAAACCAATCAGAATGATTTACAAGCGGTAAACTGAAAAAGGAGATTAATGTTTTCCCCCCAACACTTAGACAAGGTAATATCAATTTGGAATGTAATTTGGTGTCATACTTCCCTACCAGGAGGAAGGACAAATTTGCAAATCTGTGCATAAAATTCAAACACAGTCTGAGAATAATTTCAATATTCATATGAAAGCAAGCAAATCTCTTTAAATCCCAGCCAGGAGATAATTCAGAACATATCGTTCCTCATTCCTCAAATGGCTCCTCATTATCCTAAGTATTTCTTTTGGCACTTTATGATGTTTTCCCATATGTAAAGAGGCAGCTGATACAAAAGGAGATCATGAATCATTCATAGACACGCCCTTTTATATCATATGTTGTTGTGGGTGTTATGTTTATTTGTAGGAATTTAGGGGAGATCATATGGGCTTCTTCTAAAGAAAAGGAACAAAACCAAACTAGAAGGTCTATCTGTGTGAAGCTGGGTAATAGTGCCAAGGGCAAGAGAAAATAGGAAGATAGTTGGCAAGCTAACCAATTCAAAGCCTTGATTGCTAGCCTAGATGGATTAAATTAGATAATCTCAGCATACCGAGGCCAAGAGCAGAGTAGACAGAGATGTTTGGAATGAGAAGGCTGTAATGGGCGGGGTCAACAAGTACAGTTCTTGGCTCCAAACAGTTGAGATTTTCTACTAGCTTAATGTCTGTAAAGAGCTATGATCTGGGCATTGTTTATGTAGTACCAGAAAATTGCATTGATTTATTTTCTCATTTATTTAATGACCACTGCAATCAAAAATTAGGCTCTTTTTTAAGATGACTTGCTGTACATGCAATTTTGAAATCCATCAGGCAAATGTGCAGCAAAGGCTAGACAGTACCCTATTTTCAGTCCTGTTGCACAGAAATATTTTTGATGCAGAAAAATGCACCTTGTAGAACAATCAGACAATGACAAAATAATTAATTATAGAATTCCTTCTTTTGTTCTTCCATATTTATCACAGTATTATTAGTACAAGACATAATGTCCTTACTAAGTGCATAGATTAAATATTACTCCTGTTATAACATTAGAGCAGTTTCTGTGTGGTGATTTCTAGACAAATAAAATTGAATGATGCTCATTCTGCTTTCAGATCTAAAAAGTCAATGTTGGTAAAGGAATGAACACTTCCAGAATAACTCAACAAGACTGCAGTGAACACTGAAACTTGGATTATTAAAATTTCAGACAAGTTTGGAGCTAGAAAATCTACAAATATCAAAAAGGAATTTATTGATAGTTGTTTTGTCAACAACTGACAAACACAAATTGTTAGATCTGGGACGATGGTTCAGGAACGGAGGCAAGACTCAGATAACAACAACAGCTCTTTATTAGTGACTTCAGATCTGAGCAAAGAATCCCAGCTGCAGCAGCCCCTTATATAGGGCCAATGAAAGCGATTTGAGTTTGCCGCTCTTGGCAGGGCCAATCGCGGCAGCCCGTTTACTAGCCAATCGCATCAGTCTGTGGCGACCAATCACGATCTGCTATTCGCGGGCCAATCAGATTTGCAGGCTTTCGAGCCTGCTAGTCCAGAACACAAATTATCTACAATTGCAATATAACACAGCATCTAGTTTTCACTTGTTGCATATAATGTCTCTGTGTCTACTGGATAAATCTGAGCCAATTCAAAATAACATGTCTTCCTCTTAAAACATGAGGGATTTTCTACCTCACTAAAAATGTGGACCAGAACTTGTAACTACATACATGTGGTGTAAATATTCCCTTAAAAAACCAGTTATCAGTTCCATAGAAAAGCAAATCTGGATCTGGATAATTTTGACTTTAAGGTTTAAATCTTTTTTTCCTAACTGTGAATTGTTCAGTCGTACTGAACTGAACATTTTCATTTAAGGTCTTTGTCCCTTCTCTCTTTTTAATAATTTTATTGAACTTATCGAAGTTTAAAATGAAAATGAAAATAATGGGAAAAGGGGAAAGGGAAAGGTAGAGAGAAAGAAGTGTAGGGGGAAAGAGGGAAAAGAAAGAATAGCATTGACTTTTGAATTGCTTTGGTGCAATAGAATAAAATAGTAACATTACAGCTTCAACTATTTACTTTTACATATTGAACATGTACTAGCCATTTCTATAAAAACAAACTTATCTAAACATCAAAATCCCAAATCAAAGTTTCCTTTCTCACCCCACACTTCAAACAAAGCAGTTTCTAAATAGAAACGAAGCTGGGTGTGTTCTTTTCTTTGATTACATCAGTTAATTTAGCCATCTCTGCTAGTTCTGTCAGTATTTCCAGCCACTCATCCATTGTGGGAATTAGAGTATCTTTCCATTTTTGTATATAAAGCACTCTTACTATTGTCAACATACATAACCACAAGATTCCAGGGTTTTTCACCAAGATCTTTGTCCATTAAGCTTAAACAAAGTCTCTGACAGGCGCAAGAAATCAGAACCAAGGCTTTTCAAACAAGTATTTGTTTATTGCATGCTAGCTCTCTATAATCATCAAGGGAAATTGGTCGTAGATAAAAACCAACAAAATTCAAGGAGGGCTTAGATCTCTTGTGGGCACAAAAGGATTCCAAACTGATGACACACTTAACTCCTCCCTTGGACTCAGTCTGGTAATTTCCTATAGTCTCTGGTTTAAATTTTATATTTAAAATTTAAATTTATATTCTTAATTTACTTTAAGAATCTTCTGTATTAAAATATGACTTATCCCAGTATTTCTTTGCTTTACTGCAAGTCCATCAGAGATGGTAAGAAGTTCCTTCTTTGCAGTTACATGTTCAGCATCCATTTGAGATCTCTTTGTAGATCTTCGACAATTTATTGGGTATTAAATACCAACAGTACTGATTCTAGGCATCATTCATTTTGGGCCCTTTTGGGATTTATCTTAATGTTTATCACCTTTATGATAAATTAGTTAATTTACTATCTGTGTCAGCCTTCAAGATTTTCTCCCTTTGCTTTGCATCTTTCAGCTGTCATAAGTAACGGGGGAGGAGGGGGGACATGGTTATGGGAAACGAGCTGGAGGTGTTACAAAACAGAACTGTATAAGCTGGGGCGGTGGGGGTTGATTCTTGCTTAGGCTTCTATCCTATGCTATGGGCAGCTGCAACTCTTTATCAAAATATGCCAAGGTCAACAGACAGAGGCCTCATCACCACCTGGAGATGCCCACATGATGATATACACTACTTTTAATTGGATGAGCCAATTGAACTATTGGGGGTGGGAATGTTGCCATCACTTTGTATAGGTGATTTACGCGCCCATTTTCTCAGATTCAGAATTCTTTTGTTGCTACCACTTGATTTCCAGTAAAAGATACCTTTTCTCTAATTAATGGAGTCTAAGTATTTCTTTCTTGGATTTTGAATGGAGCACCAGCTGACAATCTGGTTCTAAGGAAAGCCTACCAAAAATTGTATTTATTAATGGGTTTGCTCCTTTTTAATTTAACTGAGATAAAAAGATACAAGAAGCTAATTTAAGGGAACTAAACAGAAACAGGGAAGTGAAGGCTATTTAACATGGAGGTAGCCAAGGGCAATGTCTCTGTTGTTTTTTTTTCACTTTAAACAATACTTGCATATCCACATACATGCTTCTAGTAAATCAAGGACTTGCTATGTTTTATGTTTTTTTCTAAGAAACAGTTATCATTCAGTTTGTATTACTGGGTGATCATTCCTCAGAAGGAAAATTAGGAAAAACATAGGAAATTCTACTCTGTGGACTTTTAAAATAAAACTCAGGAATCATCTTTTGCAAAGTATGGTGTTCTCCCTGCTTAGCTATGAAATTTTATAGCAAATATTGTATTATCAGAAAAAAATTGTAGAAAAGGACCAACTTTTTACAGGGAAAAAAAAAATGAATGAGAATGAGAATGAAAATACTGGGATTATTCAAGTATTTTTTTAAAGAATTATTTAGCATTACTAAATTCTTACTGAAAAATCAGCACATTTTTCAACTCATTTAAATCATTCCATCTTTATTGTCATGAATATTCATGTTGTTTTTCTGTTTGTAAGATTGATTGATTAATTGATGTCCATTCTTTCTTTTATGCGCTCAAGGCAGCAGACATAGCATTGTCTCATCTAATTTTCCTCCATGACAACAACTCAGTAAAGAATTTTGAATTGAGGCTGTTACTAGCTGGCTCCTTTTGTGAGTTTCCATGGCTGAGAATCTCCCAAGTGCTGGACCAACACCCTGATCGCTCACCAAGAAGACTCTTAATTAAGGGATTGTGTAAACATACAATGTGACAGAAAAACCACAAGATATATTCAAGTATATAAGCCCATTTACTCCAGTAATCTCTGCTGGTTATTTTGAGTTAACTATGGGCATGAATGATTTCATGCCATATTATTTAGAGGTTCATCTTTTTGAAATGACGATTGAAGAGGAATGAAATGGAATGAAAAAAGTACTTTAGTATTTCTGGGGAAACTAGTTGGATGATATCTGTCATCTAGGTCATGATTGTCCCAAAGGTGCTTTTTCAAAAGGCAACTGGATTTTGTTTTTCCTTGAAGACATTTTGCTTCTCATCCAGGAAGTTCAGCAAATGGGTGTGGAAGCAGTAAAATGCAGTAAGACATGTATAGAGTTTCTAAACACTCTATAACTTTTAAAGTTCCAATTGTCACATCTATAAATATATTCCCTTAAAATAAACAAGTCTATTGATGTTAGCTTATGGGCACACATCTTCCCCATCGACACAGAATTTATGGGATACCATGAAAGCAGTTACTTGGGGTATCATAATATCATATACAGCAAAAAGAAACAAAGAAAAATTTGCTCAACAAAATAAGTTGCAGGAAACAATCAAGAAACTAGAGAATAAATTACAAAATACTAAATTAAAGGAACAATTGATTTTAACTAAACACAAACTTAACCTAGTAGATCATGAAGAAATGGTTAAAAATCTAAAAATAGCCAGACAAACATTCTTTGAACAAGCTAACAAACCAGAAAGGTGGCTCTCACATAAACTTAAGAAAGAAAGAGAAAAAAGAATTATCCACCAATTATAAGATGAAAATGGAGAATATCAGCATACAATAGAAAGAAAGAAAAAGATTGTATACCAATATTTTGAGAATTTGTATAAGAAAAAGGATATAGACGAAGAAAAATAAGGAAATATTTGAGAGAGGAACAAGGCCCATTGATAGCAGAAGATCTGAAGGAAAATTTAACTAAAGAGATAACAATAGCAGAATTAAATCAAGCAATTAGAAACCAGAAAAAACAATAAAACACCAGGGGAATTCTATAAAATGACAGAAGATTAGAACCATTAATGCTAGACCTTTATAATGATTTTATGATAGATGCTAAGATGCCGGATACATGGAGGGATGCATTCATCTCGCTAATCCTGAAGGAAGGCACAGATACAAGACAAATCCAAAATTATAGACCAATATCATTATTAAATGCTGACTATAAAATATTTACAACCATCATAGTGAATAGACTGAAGAGACTTTTGAATGAATACATACACTCAGACCAAAATGGATTTCTCCTAGGCAAACAAATTAGGAATAATTTGAGGACAGTAATAGATATTTTAGAATATTATGATGCCCACACAAAGAAACAAGTATCACTTCTCTTTCTAGACACTCATAAAGTATTCGATAACTTGAATTGGCAATTCATGATACAGCAAATTTATAATATGAATTTAGGAACTAAATTTGAGCACATAATAACAACAATATACTCCAATCAGAAGGCAAACATTATAGTGAATGGTGAAATTACCCAGAGCTTAGAAATAAGAAAAGGCTGCCCACTCTCGCCTCTGCTTTTTATATTATCACTTGAGACCCTGTTTAGATAAATTAGGCAAAATCCAGAAATAAAAAGATTAAAAGTCAAGAAAGAAGAATACAAATTACAAGCTTTCACGGACGATATGGTGTTCGTTATTGAAGATCTGATAGAAACAGGAATTAGAAAGATATAGGGAAATAGCAGGCCTGAAAATTAATAGACAGAAAATGAAACTGTTGTCTAAAAATTTAACAAAATTACAACAAATAGAACTAGAAAGAATAGCAGGACTACAAAAAATAAAGAAAATTAAATATCTAGGTATATGGCTGACCACACAATGTAAAACAATAAAGGAGAATAATTATGATAAATTACTACAACAAACAAAAAAAGATTTGGAATTATGGGCTAAATTGCAATTATCTTTACTGGGAAGGGTAGCATCTATTAAAATGTCAATCTTACCCAAATTTTTATATTTATTTCAAATAATCCCTGTTAGACTAGAGAAATCCTTTTTCAATGAACTCAACAAAATTACACTGTAATTTATTTGGTTAAGCAAAAAACCTAGAATAAAGATAAAATCATTACAGGATGTAAAAAGGAGGAGGACTGGGTCTTCCAAATTGGGAGTTATATTATATTGCAGCAGCGTTAACCTGGATGAAGATTGGATCAATTTAACTAATAAAAGAATACTGAGTCTGGAAGGCCATGGTCTGCAAAGAGGATGGCATGCCTTTTTGTGGGAAACCGGAATGAAGAAACAACAGTATTTTCATAGACACCTAATCAGAGACTCCCTGTTACAAAATTGGACTAAAATCAAAAAGAAACACTATATGAAGATACCAATTTGGTTATCTATGATGGATGCTATGATCCCCCAAATAATTTAGACTTAACTAAGATGATAAAATAGGAGGAAATTTGAAATTGATGCAAGATCTACAAAATCGAGGGATACATATTGACTGGTGGGCATTTCTTCAGCTACAAAATAGATACAAAAAAGATATTAAGGACTCCTTATAAGTTTTAAAGTTCCAATAGTCACATCTATAAATATATTCTGTTAAAAAGAAACAGGTCTGTTGATGTTAGCTCATGGGCACACATCTTCCCATTTTTCAGTCCGGAGAAATTCCCTCGCTTGACTAACATAAGTCCATCTTTCCATCACTAATTTTGTTCTATATTAACATTCTCCAAATCCTGAGTTCTGATTGGTCCACACGGACCACAACCCGATTAGTTGACTAAACGACTGTGATTGGCATGCTAAGAATCTACCGCGATTGGCCGAGCCGATCACGGGAAATTCAAAGCACTGCCATTGGCCGCCGAGCCTCCGGCCGGCTGAATAAAGCCAAGCAGTTCGCAGGTCCTGAACTGAACTGTATATTCAATAAAGAGCTGAATGTGCACTTTGAGTCTCGTGTCTCTATGCGACCCGATCTACCCGGGACCGATCTCCCGGACTTAACAAATTTCTCCTAAAAAAGGATCAGGGCAGCAATTCATTGCATTAAAGAGGAGGACACAACTGACATTCCCTCCTTCAACCCGGTCATTTTGAATGTCTTCAGTGGCTTTTCTTAAAATTTTTAATTTGCTAGTATATTTGGAATTGACAGACATCTCTGGGTTTTACAGCTTGAGGTCCTATCACTAATTAAATGTCTCCTCTAGCTGAATACTCAGCAAGTGCTTTAATTGTCTCCTTATTAACATTCATATCACAGCTTCATGTTCTAGACCCGTAATAAAGTCAGCTTGCTTAACTTCTACAGCTGCTTCTTATAGCTCTGGAGTTCAGATCCATGCTGTAGCTTTAGCTTAATTGACGTTCATTTTCTGCTCATTAGTGCAAGTGAATATACATTGCTTTTCACCCTATAGAGTTTTATCACTGCTTTTTTACAACTAGCAGCACAGCGAGGAAATATAAGTAATTTCACTTTAATTTTAAAGTGCAGGGGGAAAACTATTTTGGAAAGTGTAATTGGAATGAAAAAACTATTTTGGAGGATTTGTTGATAATGAAACTCCAGAAGCATTGAATATTTGGACATGTTATCATTCTAGAAGACAATTGATCCTCTCTTTATCATTGTGTTGCTATTGGTTGGAAGACTTCTCTTCAACCCATTTCACACAGGGAAAATATTTTCACCATGCAGATAGATGTGTGAGATGCATCCTTTCCAACAGAACATGTAACTTCGTTTATAAATGGTACTTATCTTTTTGGACTTGTCTTTCACTTTTAAATCCCATTTTTAATGGATTTCCTTGTTCTCACAAATATATGCTTGGTTTAATATGTTGATTTTTGTCCCCCCACTCTCTTGCCTCATAGGCTGGCTCTTGTGAAGAAGATCTGGAGGAGGAATTGGTATGCACATGACTTTGGATGAAGGTTTGGGTGGAAATCAAACAAGTTGGTTGATTGGAATGTTCCAACCAAAATTGTCCCCAGATTTTCCCTGAAGGATTGATCCCAATATTAATAACTATAGGTAAATAATAAAGTAATTTATAGCATAATTTCCCTATTTTTGAAAACTTATTCAAACATTTCCCAATGTAGAGATACGTGTACTGACTAAGCTGTCAGTAAGGTGGCCATGACTTATTGACTAGAAAGGAATGGAGATTCAATTGTGAATGAACAATAACAACAACTCCCTTGAAATTTTACAATAAACTTTCCTGTAAGGAATTGAATTCAACAGAATAAATATTGAATAGCAAATTCCCAGGTTCAAACTCACTTCAACACCAGATTATAAACTCAGGACATTTAGAAATCTTCATGGTCAAAAGATGGATACTCACCTAGAGAGTCATTATGTTTGGGTCTAAGATAAGTGATTCGGCTCACTCTTTATAGTACCATAGCATCCTAGGTAAAATCATGATAGATATTTGTCCTGGATTTCCTTTCTAAGCATTTCCCAGAGTCACCATTGAGAGATAGGTAGCCATGTTAATAATTTAAGCAAATTGAATGAAATATTCTTACTTTAATGTGGGAAACTGCCATGAGTCCTTTCAACGTACAAAAATAAATTTAGAAATAAATGTTTTTAATTGCTTTCTATTCTTTCTGTCTATCTCCTTTTCATTCTTTTTGCTTTTTTTCTTTCTTTTCTTTCTTTTCTCTTTCTTTCCTTTCATCTGTGTATGTACTGTTGGTTTGTTTTAATTGTAAAATTAATAAAATTTATTTATTAAAAAAAAAAAGAAATAAATGTAAACTTGGCCTTGCTGACTGCTTTTACCTTGGACAGGATTTACCATCTGCTATGTCTCAGGTTCAAGCTTCTTGTTCCTACATCTCACAGTTCCTGTCACTATCCATAAAAATGACAACATAGCCAGTTATAGGTCAGATATATGTGCCTTGAGTAATAAAGAAGATGTAAGGGCAATGTTTTATACAGCCTTTCTTGGCATAGACGCTAACAACATTTCTGAGAATAACAATGTTTCCCAGTACTCCATTCTTATAACAGAAACTATCAAAAGATTACAAGAAATAGTGATTAAAGTATAACCACTACAATGCAATCCCTCTTCCCGTGGAGTTGGTTTTAAATACAACTGCATTGTATATTGTTGGGTTTTGAATTCATTTCGAACAAAACCTTTTATACAACCACTCAGAAAAAACTTTCATTGAATTCCTAAGGACATGCTCTCCAGAAAACTAGTTTAGAATTGTAGTGCTTAATAACTGGTAAGCTTGCATTCCACACAGGGCACATCATTACACCATAGTTGTGCTCTGGAATAACTATAAGGCATAAAGCTGCATGCAGTGTCTCTGTCACGCCCTTGCTAACAGCATCTTCATTATCTCCACTATTCATGCCTTGCACAACATGGACTATAAAAGTGCTTCTCTTGCAATGGCTTGAATGTAAGTTGGATCTCTGCATGGGTGAGAATCTTGAAAATTGCTGCTGTGTAGATCAGGAATCCCCAAGCACTTCATTTCATTAACTCCTTTAGTTGTTCATTAGGGTGTTGATGATCGGCTCTTGTCATTGATTGTTGTTTCCTTGTACCCTAAATACCTGATAAGCTGCTGGTAAATCAGCACTCCTGTTGTTTGACAATAAAGTAAATTTTCATATGGTAAACGTTTGGGAATTTTAGATTGTTCATCGACCACCAAACATTTACCATATGAAAATTTACTTCATTGTCAAATAACAGGAGTGCTGATTTAGCACCAGCTTATCAGGTATTTAGGGTACAAGGAAACAACAATGACTTAAGAGCTAATCATCAATACCCTAATGAACAACTAAAAACTACATAAAACCAGGCACCATATAAATACAATATCTGGAACAACCCAGTGTACATTGTGGAGATTATAAAGATTTAGCTGGTGACTGACTCAGATGGAGTTCTGCTACATGATAATAATATAATTATTTTCATGTAGCAGTGCTACTTTAA